TCCATCACTTTGTCAACCATTGGGAAGAGTTGTGGATCTTTCGTATCGATGTCGAAGAGGTCCAGCATTTGGCGCAAGTATTGGCCGTATTTGGGCTTAAATTGCGGTGACTTTTGGCCGAAAGGCATGTATGAGGCGAAGAAGGCTTTAATAGCGCGGGGAAAGACATCGTATTTTGTTTGATGAGTAAAAACACTATTAATTGCTATACTTTTGAGGGCTTGAGTGCCAGAATTGGGCACATTTTGGAAAGCCATGGCCTGTAATCGGTGTTAACTTTGGGTTTAATACCAAATCAAGAGCTGGTATTTGTGTTGCGATAAATCTATAACTGATTTTGAATTCAATTTGATGTGAATTTGAAGTGTTTATCGCATGTAATAATAGGAAACACTTTTACCACGAGCTAAATGTTTGATATATTAAAAATCAATAGTTAGCTAAAATTTATAATCAAATGAGTTACGAATTTTAAGCACTAGTTTTAAACAATGCAAACAATAGTGTATTTAGATTTTGTAAATAATTTAGATTCAAATGAAAGATTAGTAAAATTATATTGAATTCAATGCCATAAATATACAAGTATTCAAAAGTAAAGTAAATGCTTATAAAATTACTATAAGTTAATAAAATTATGTATTATTTAAAAGTGGAATGAATTGAATTGTATTTGTAATATAAATTACTTTTAATTATATAACATTTCGTGACATTTGTTGTCCGACAGCCAAGTCTTGAGTACTTTTTACTTATTATACTTTTTAAAATATTAATTTCTAAATTTATTTTACTAATTCTGATGATTACACTTAAGTAAACTGTGTAGAAAAACATATATTTGTGGTTATCTAGCATAGTTTTTGATAAAAATTTTAGGTATTTTATTACCACATATAATCACATATTTTTAAAGTTATTACCACATGTATTATATTACATATTTTTGGGCGCATTACCACATTTTTGGGCTTTACATGTATAATTTATGTTAATGCTTTAGTCATCACTTTTATATTTGATAACTTTTTATCATTCATTTTTGGGATTAAGTAAATAAAGTTTTGAAATAAAGTTTTTGATGCAAAAACTATTTGAATTAAAATTAACTCATTTATTGTGTTTCTCGTCAATAACTTTAGGGATTGTGTTTAGCATTAAATCTCAATTCAATTGTTTGACACAATTTCTCGACAAAAGTTTTTATTCGTAACGTTATATACGAACAGACATTACATAAACAGTAAAGTTATTCATTGTCTCAAAAAAGTTGTCAAACAATTGGTTTTCATTTCATTTGATAAACAGTTGTTTTAATTGTCGTTTGAATTGATTTTTAACTACTTTTGTGTCAAATAATGGCTCAAAACTACAGCAAAGACTCTTTCGATAGATTTGGAGACGACTTATGCCAAGAGTTGTTGTCTTATATGGCATTCAAAGACCGCTTTCGTTGTGAATGTGTGTCAAAACAGTGGCAAAGAGTGGTATTTGAGGGACAGTTGGCGTTGAATATCAAGAGAGAGTTATTTGACGACAATTTCAGCCAAATTGTGTCAATACTGACGAAGTGTTCAAACATTAGACGCGTTTACAGCGAATACGAAGAGCCGGTGTTTAAAAGCTTTGAATTGATTTTTTTGGTGATCAATCTTTGCCATCATTTGAATGACATGTCGTTCATAGTGTCCGAAGACAACGTCCATTGGATTAACCACTTTATGGCAAAGTTTGCGAAACAAATGCAATGCATTTCATTTGATTTCGACGACAAAGCGATGATTGATATGAAACACAAATGGCTTAAAATGTGCGTTAATTTGACTGCAATTCACATACCGTTTGACGAGTTGTCGAAATCACGGCTCGGATTCAGTCCTCGAAATGATTTGCATTACAAACGACTCAATAGTCTTCACTTGACATTCAGTAAATCCAATGATAACTCAATTGACATTAATTTGTGTGCATTTGAATTGTTTGCTCGCAATTACGGCCACAATATTAAGACAATTGGATTCACAATTAACTTTCTTATCGACGATGAGATGGTTAACAGACTAACGGATGGTTTGAAACGAATGCCGGCATTGATTGCATTGGATGTAAAATTCAATGTATTTGTGGACTATTTATTGCCACTCATTGGTCTCAAGTGTCCACAACTGAAGGCTTTAACTGTCGATACCTCGCATTTAAGGGAAACGTTTAAAGCGATTAATCAATGCTTTAATCAACAATTAAAGCGTTTGAAAATCAATGTTTGGGATTATCAACAGCTGTCCGTCGATTCACTCAATTCATTGAAACGATTAACGCATTTGAAACTATTTCTCGTTGAGACAACGCTTACCGGTTTATTCTTCGCCAATTGTCACCACAAATGGCCACAACTTCGGTATCTAAGAGCCAATCGAGTGTTGATTACAAACCAACTGTTGAACGCGTTGTCGAGACTGAGACACATCCGACACATGCATCTGTCGGGCCGTCCCGTTCCCACTCCACGGCATGGCATTCAAAATGTGGTCATTAATTGTCCTAAAATTGATTGTCGTCTCCACTCGTCTAAAGGCAAAGAAGTGCCAGAGATTGAGGGTTTGTTATATTAATCCTAATTATAATATTATGTTATCATTTATTTGAAACTAATTTTATTTATTATCTCTGAATCGACAGAACTGTTTCGTAAACTAATGTCCGGACAATCGGATCCCGAGACGAGCTCATCGGATGTGAAGTCTAAATACTTCAAATAAATGAATCCATTTTCCAAATGATAGCAATAATTCATAATTTGTTTTTACTTTCTTTCTATTCAATCGTTTAATTCTGTTTTTAATTATAATTTTATTTCATATATTTTTTAAAATATTATTTGTATGAAAGCAAACAAATTGTTTTACTTATTTTTATTCTAATATCTGATTATTGAATCGTTTTATGTTTATTGTAATCAATATTACCTTAATTGTCATTTAATTGAAAATCTATCCATTGGTGACAATAATACCATATATTTCTTATGTATTATTTGAGTCTCCAATTATTTAATTGTGTGAATTATAAATGAGATTAAAAAACTCGTTAACAGAGAAAAACCCGAGAGTTGAATAACATATTCGCCAACAGTTTTATCATTGATTTATAAAAACAATTAATAATTATAACAAAGGTTTCGTGTATTTTATTAATAATTAAAATATCATTAAAATATCATTTATTTCACAATAGAATCAAAATATTTGTTTTTTTGTTTGGAAAATAAAATATAGTAAACAAAATAAATCAATGAATAATATTATGTCTATTTTTTATAATTAAGATATTGTAGACTAAAAACAATAAAAATAAAACTAATTTTATTTGAAGTTAAAATAATTATTGTGTGAACAAACTTATCAAAACCATATGTTATAAAGTATATAAAAAACTTATATAAATTACAATATTTTACTTTTATTAAAGTTATTGTAAATAAAGTTCAAATTCAAACAATTATTCATTTCAAAGTATGTTTAAAATCATATTACAAATGAATTCAATTAATGTAAATCAAGTTTTAATCGATAAATTCACTACAACTTCAGCGAGCAGTCAATTGTATAAAATCGGTTTGTGTTATACGTATAGTAAATATGGAAATACAAATTATCGGCAATTTATTCACAAACCAATTGTAATCAATACCTGTTTATCGGTATATTTGATACAAATTATTATCGTTACGCTATTTATAGCACCCGAACAGCACATGATCAAGGTAATATTGGCCGATATGGCATACCTTCAGGGGGTTTCCAATCATATTAATTATCTCATTATTCTATGGATAATAATGAATATATTATTTCGTATATTATATTATTATAACTATAAACAGGGAATAATTGCCACTTTTATGCCGTTGTTTGATATGTTTGCCGGTTATATAACTCCCGCACAAATCCATCTCAATAATAGCCGTTTGGTTTGGTTATTGTCGATGAGATCACGGGTTTTGTTTAACACGATTAGGATTATACAAATCCATTCGCCGCCTATATATGTATTGTATGCGTTAATTTCATATATGCATAAATGTACCATGATGCAAATTATTCTGTATGGCATACCTCAAGCATTTCTACTCGCATTTATGGACTATTATTGTTTCGCTCAAACCCTATGGCTTTTGGTTCACTTTTATCTCATTTGTTTGTATATTAAATGCAAAATACGTGTAATTAATAATGATTTGCATAAAAGGCTTGTTATCGACAAACACTTTGATTGCGTTTATATTAAGAAAACCATTGGTTTATTAAACAAAATTTATATTGAGATCAATGATTATAACACCACTTATTGGTCTCAATATATAGCGATTCTGTGGTCACTATTGAGTACAATAGCGTGTATTCTCGCATATGTACTCATATTTCAAACAATAACAGTAATCCTGCGGATAATTGTATTTTATGGCCTAATCTTAACGGTATTGCCCTTTATTTTCACTGGTTTTATGTCCGCATCAGTTAATTATGAAACAAACAAATCATACCAACTTTTAAATAGATATAACTCTAAAAATTGTTAATTATTTTGTAATCAATTTATAACTAATATTGTGTTAATTATTATTTTAAGTGATTTTATAACACAATGATAATAAATTACAATAAAATGTCCACGAATTTTATTTATTAATAGTATAAATGTTATGATTTTATTTGATTTATGTTTAATTACATTGTATTTAAACTAATTCTTATTAACAATATTATTATAACATTAAAATATGATAAATATTTCAACATTTACTAAATATATACCGTATATTATGTGTGAATATTTAATTAAAACCAACTTTTATTACAATTAATAAAACTGTTTTGTATAATAAATAGAGTAATAAATGTTTACAAAAAACCTTATTCTTTGTCAACAATTTTTCTTTTGTGAAAATATATTGTATTTTAAAATAGTTTTTGAATAAAAGTCTAATTTTAAGAGAATTTTTATCTTTTTTATGTGTTTCACTCGTTTTAAAAGTAATTTTCTCGTTATTTTCTCAAAGAGCCGGCGCTGACAGTAAATTACTGTTAAAATAGTTAATGTATTGTATGTCTGAATGTAACCTAATTTCAAAACCCAATGGCAATACATTTAGAGAGAGAGAGAGAGAGAGAGAGAGAG